AGACCCTGGCTGTGGTAGGGCCACAGATGGAGCCAGACATGGCCCTTGGTAGCAGTCTAGTCCTAGGTATCACCATGGCCCCAGGTGGCAGCATAACCACTCAAATCAGCATTACTCCAGAGGCAGCATGGTCCCTTCATTCTTATAACTTCAGAAAATTATCACTAAATTTAACTCTATTTTAAATTAGACTCTTTTTTTGGTCCTCCCAAAGAGCAGCATCCAAACATTGTTGCTGTCAACCTCTTCATTAAAAGTATGTGGGGCTAAGCATGTAGTTTCTAGTGCAGAACTTCCTCAGCATGCATGTACCTCTGAGTTCACATGGCTTTGCAAAACAGTAACTCTGACGGCATATTCAAATGTATAATGCCATTCTTACCACATGGGTAATACAACACAGGGCATTTTAACCAAAGTGGAAATTACAGAAGGTAAAATAAGTATCAAATTTTAAGTGTCTAAGTTCTTATCAGGTGTGGTGGCTCATGTCTATAATGCTAGCTCTTGGGAAGCAGAAGAACCGCCATAACTGCAAGGCTATGGAAGTCTACATAGTGAGAGTCTTTCTCAATAAAATAAAGTAATCAAATAAACTTAAATTAAGTAAAAACCCATCTCACAAAAATAAATTTAAGAAATGAAATAACCCTGATGACCTGAACCTGACCCACAGAACTCACAGAACCCCACAATGGAGGGTAATTGACCATCACAGTGCCCTCTACATGTGCACTGTATAGTCAGGTATGTGTTCAGGCTACCCCTACACACACACACACACACACACACACACACACACACACACTCATGCCGCACGTGCGCACGCACACATCCATTCTTTAAAATGTGTTTGATTTTTAATGGTACAAAACGTTTGCATTCTGGAATGTCACTGTTAAAACCTTTAGTAGGATCAGTATGTGGCTATGCTTTGCTCATCTGGGGAAATCTTGTGTCAGGCCTTTTGTAACATAGCTATTGGATGTCTAGTTGAGGGTTGAGTCTATTTTATTGCTTGGTTTCCAAGTCCATGATAACATGTAAAGAGTTATATGGTTCCAAGTAGAAGGTGCTACATTAGAAGAGGCTACAGAAAACCAAGTTATCAAGATCAACTGGAAAGGGTCCTTTGCAGGTATTCTCCAAATGGGGTGACTATCTCTCGTGGGATATCCAGAGAAACTGTTAGAGTATCTGTATCTATTTGCTTCATTTTGAAGTGAGAGCATAAATAAGCCTCACTCATATTGAATGCTGTTGGTCACTATGCCCTTCCATAAGCCTGTAGTACCTGCAGAGGGGAAATTTCTTGGAGGAGGGGTCCAACATGTTGCTAAGAGCTGCACTTTATAACAGACACAAAATCATCAGTGATTAATTTCATCAAAACATCAAATGAACTTCATGAAAGCTTTCAGATCTTTGTAACACTTCACTCCTTTTTAATGTTTGAACATTTATTACTAATGCATTACAGTACTTTTTATGAAAAAATGTGGCCCCTATATAAAAAGGAACACTTCCCACAAAAATGCATCTAATTCTGAATGCACCTAGTCACAGCTCCAATAAATTTTAAAAAGAATGTTCATCCATAATCATATTGGAAGGCTCCTGTGGCTCTACCACAGGACGAGTTTAAAAGAAACACTTTTTGCAAACTGTAGCATTCCACTCTTGGTGGGGAAGGGGCAAGTGGTCTCTGTGTCACCCCATTACCTTGTGATAGCATCTCTGTTGGCCAGTGGCCAATGGCAGTGTGCCACCTCACATGTATTCTTTCCAAAGGAAGCACAGATTGACTTTGCAAGGTACAGTGGCATGTCCCCAATTATTGAGATGGTATCTTTTTTTTTTTTTTTTTTAACAAGACTTGAATCTTTAACAGGAGAATTTGGAAACAGATGTTTGGTAATGTTTCCATCTTGCTCTAAGCACATTACCAAATCAAGAGCAAAACTATCCTTAAAATCTATAACACTTTCAACAAAACCTTTGCCTGAAATAGGATGGAGAAGGCCTTTGCCCTATTAGTGTGACTCTTCTAATGAGGGCCACCTTCCACTTGAAACCATGCAACTCTGTGAGGCCCTAGAATGGCAGAATCAAAAGGGAGGCATCAAGGAGAGAAACTTGGAAGATGCAACTAAAATTAAAGGTCATTTGGGGGGTTTTATGGAAACTTAATACAGCAGAAGCTTCCTAAAACATATACACATTTAAAGGATATCTCAATGAGCTCACCAAATAATGGGGGAGACAGAGCCTCAACTGGCCAACTCTTGTTACCAAATGAAGCCTCTACTGCTGGAATTGAGTTACATCTAATTGAGTTGTTGGCCAAAGAGGTCCTATGGGAGTTTCCAAATAACCCAGGCTGTTGCTAAGAATATAGGTTGCTCTTGACAAACTAACAGCAAGTTCCCATTGCTGAAGACAACACATACACAACTCACTGAACATGGAGAAGTTGAGCTGGGCCTACATGGAGCCTTCACTTATGTGTTCCAGTGACTTTGGTACAGGAGGTACTCTGCATTCTGTCAAAGGAGAAACAAGTACCAACCCAACCACAATCCATTTGATCTACAGTGGTGTCCTGCCTGCACGTTACGCTATGCAATGGTAGCACAAAGCTTATGGGATTAAGCAACCAGTGTCTGATTTGGCTTACGGCCCATTCCATGAGATGGAACTGATACCTGACACTGAGTGACCAAACCCCTGAGACTAGACATGGAAACAGGGCAAAACCTAATACTACTGTTTTAAAAACAAAACAAACAAAAACAAAGTTAATCAACATAGCAATAAAATGACTCCCAATGACATTTTACTATACTCGTATATCAGTAACCAGCTCAGCCACCATCAGAGAAGCCATCTCCTGCAACAAATGGGAATAAATATAGAGACTCATAGCCAGACCATGAGTGGAAAGTGAGATGCCTTGTACTACTGAGCCTTAAATGGGATGTCTCCATCAACCCCCTCCCCTTAGGGCTCAGGGAAACCTGTAGAAGAGGAGGTAGAAAGTGTAAACGCCATAGGGGACAGAGAATACATACGAACACACACGAACACACACACACACACACACACAATACAGACAGACAAAGGACAAGTCCCTCTAAATCAACATGACAATCACACATATGAACTCATCGGGACTGAGACAGCATGCACAGGGCCTGCACGGACCTGCACCAGGTGGGCTCCTAGGGCTGAAAGCAGAAGTGGACATATGCCTCATCCCTGACCCAGAAGCTCTCTCTAATTGATAACCATTTTCAAATGGAAATTTAGCTTTCTCCAATGTGGTCTCGCTAGAGGAACAAACTACTTTTAAGGTTTCATACCCAGCAGTAGATGGCCATCAGAAGACAAACTCAATGGCATCTTTGGAGGTTTCTTGTCTTACATTTTTGTGTCAGGGATTTTCCTTTATAAAAAAAACATTTTATCTTAATATTTCTTTTTGCTTTCTCTCTCTCTCTTTCTCTTCTTGCCCTTTGGGTATATATTACGGCTTCCAGTTTAATGTTTTTATGAGATTTCTGAGTGTTCAAAAGAGTGGCCCTCTGTACCTGTTTCTTGCACCATTTGGAGGGCTATTTTCCTTTAGTTTGTTTTATTCTATTGTAATGTGTTAATATGTGTTTTATCATATTATATTGTACTGTGTATTATTTTACTGTTCTTCCTTAGGAGCCTGTTTTATTTCTAATAAGAGACAGAAGGGGTGGATCTAGAAGGAATGGGAGATGGAGAGGAGTAGAGGAGGGGAAACAACAATTAGTACATATTATGTGAGAAAAAAGTCTATTTTCAAGAAGAGGAAAAAGTAAAATTTAGTTCCTCAGTAAGCCAAATTATACCTGAGAAATACATGCTCAAAACCTAAATGTGCTATAGAATTTCAGAGATGGTGTATGTCAAAAGGAAAATATGCCTGGATGTCAGAAGAATGTTAATGAATGTATATTCCAAAATATCTATATTTTGGTGCCAGGTTAGCTCAGTTTTAATTCCAACAATCAGCAATGACATAAGGTTAGCCTGCTCTTTATTTGATTACAGAAAGCAGAGAGTTAAAAACTCAGATTTAAAATGACTCATCTAACATTCAGGCTGTTTACTGAATATCTACAACTCAATTGAACCAACAAACTCCAAAAAAAAAAAAAAAAAAAAAAAAAAAAAAGAAGAGGCGGATTGCGTTTGCTCTCATCATCACATCGCGGGCTTATGGGAGTTAGTGACATACAGTAGTCATTCTTCTACAAGGACAGCTTCTGTTTCTGAGAATTACAAGGTACCTTCTATGCTGAGACCCCTTCTGGAGACTGTTACATGGTCTGCTTCTCCTCTGGGATGGATTGCTCAGCTGTTTCTGCAGTAATATTCATCAACCCTCTCAGAGGCTGTTATAGTTTGAATCTGAAATATCCCCACAAGCTCATATTGTGGCACTTATTCTAGAGTCTGTACAACTTTTAGGAGATGGGGTCCTGCTGGGAGCACCAAGGGGTGAACTCACAAGGTATAACCCAGCTCAGAGTCTAACCTCTCTCTCTGCTTCCTAGTCCACCACTGTGTGAACAGCCTCTCTCCACACTCCTGCCACCAGGGACTGAGCCCCTGCTGTGCCTTTCCTGCAGGGAAGGACTGAAACCCCAGCCAAAGTTAACCTTCCTCCCCTTAGCTGTTGCTGGATATCAGGTGTTTCTGTCAGAACAACGGAAAAGTCATTAGTATAAATATGTTGCGAGATAAACTGTTTCGTTATTACAGAACCAGATGTTTTTATGAGTCTATTAATTTAGGGAAATTTCTATCCTGAGAAAGATTGGATATTCCATTGGAACCTACTCTTCCCAGCCCCTAGATCAAGTCATGTGATTCTCATTTAGGAGTGATCATGAACCATAACCTCCAATCAAAGGGCATTTCAGGTGACTTTTATTTATAAGAAATAACTTGCAAATATAAAAAGATCCATTTCTTATTTACATGGCATTCTTATATTTTTTTTTACTCTTTTGTGATTAAAACTCTTAGCTGTTTAAGGAAAGTAGCTTATGAATTATAAGGTTCCCATCCTCTGTCAAAGATGAATCGATTGATCATATCAAAAGTTCTCAGCGGCTGGTCATAGGGCAAAATGTGTCCTCCGCCCCGGACAATTACCTTGGTGAACAAAAATAAAAGAACACAGAGAAATACATATTATCAATACATGGAAAATATAAACTCAGATTAAACACACATGCGTATACATACATACATACATATATAAATTCAGAATGGGATTGTGATATAGCTCAATGAATTTTACAACAACTCATATCACCTTGAATGTGACTTCTCTTTTTCACTTTGGGGTGACTGTCTGGCCTGAGCCCCTAGATGGGAGGGAATGTTGTACTAAGTTTTGCCTAGTCAGGCTGCAACTTCTGTCTTTTAATTAGCCATCCCAATCGCTCCTTATACTGGGAAGGCTCCCTGCTGAGGTTTTAACAGTAGTAAAGTTGACATTTTTATAATAATTGATTGATTCATTAATTAAAATACACAGAAATCATTGATGCCTGAAATAAAAGGTTATTTTTAAGCACTCACAGTATTAGAATATTCTTATTTTTCTGATATCATATCATAAAAAATTTTAAATACACAGGATATTTTCAAAAAGACTCCTGCATTCACATCTCGTTTCCCCCTCACACTAACAACTGCTGTCTTAGCTCTCATGCCTGATTCCCTCCGCCGGACTGTCCAGAGAGTACTTCACTGGGTCTTTTGACACATTCCAAAATATAACGGGGACATCCGTGTAATTCTCCCAAACTCCTGAGCATCTGACTATTAGTGTGTGTTTAAACAAGCTGATTCTGGCCCCTTACTCTGCTGTCCATTAAAAGTAGGTTGTGTGTTTTCTTCTGTCCCCCACTCATAGCTGGGGATAAAACTGTTGGGGCTTCAGAGATGGAAAGATGAGGGGGACTAATTTCCAAGGAAACATCAACCTCCTCTCACTCCATCTGCACTCGGTTAACTTAATAAAAAAGTCACTCATTTTGGAGTATATGCAGCTGGGCATTACATTCTTTGTTTTCACAAGTCTGCTCACGTGGACATGGGCTAAGGTAACTGCTAGCTTTATAGCCACTTGGCGGCCACTTTGCCGAAACACTTTCTGCTGGTGCCCGAATCATCTGGTGGATGACAAGTGAAATGACAAGCTTGGCATCTCCAGCTTCATGTCATGTCTGCCCTCAATCTTTGAGTCAAATCCTGACTACCTCTGCATCTAGACATCCTGATCACTTAAGAAATGTTTGGTTCAATACTGGGTTAAATTGCTGAGGCCCATTGGAACAGGTAGGTAGGTATTTTTCTTTTGCTTCCCCAGCAGCACAAGCACCACTGTTTGACGGTCCATCTGTCCAACTAGGAGAGAAATACTTCCTCTTCGGTTCATGGTAAGTTGTGTGAAGACTTACTAGGAGGATACTGAGATGGAATACTTAGCACAGGAGCCCAAATATACAATAAATGTTAGTCATGCAGAGCTCTTGGGTTCAATCTCATGTCACAAAATAAATAAACATTTATTTGCAGTTAACAGCATTTGCCCACTAATGATCTGTATTGAAAACCCAGGATTGGTATTGGAGAGGTGGCTCAGTATTTACATGGGCAGGCTGTCAAGTTATGAAGGATGGAGTGAAGGGCCTAGCACAAACATAACAGGTCATCAAAATATCTGCTTGGTTACCCTGGAACACTCAGTGTCCTGACAGTCATATCAACAATCTTGGTTTCAAAGAGTTGTTTAAGGAATGGTTTCATCACTTGCATGTGCATAAAAATATTTGGGTTTTCCCATTCTGAGGGTGCACGAAGGGTCTCGAGAATCTGCATCACTAACAATTCCAAAGTGTGGCTGGTGCTGTCTGTCTAAGAACTATCCACTGTGATCTGCTGTTTGGTATTTTCTCTCTTCTGCACCAAAACAAGGCATTTTTCTATCTACCCAAGACAATGCAAGTGTAGTACAATTCCTTTCCTCCTGGCCATCTGTTCTCCTCATATCTATCCACATATCCTTATGCCTGGACACTTTCCTCATCCTTGATCATTCAGTGATCAACGGACTAATGATTTTGTATCTCACCTTGGTCCACTTGTGAGCTACCATATGTAATGGGCCAATGGCATGGGACCCATTGTCCTTAACACTGGAAAGTAAAGCTTCTTCTGTAGGCACAAGATTGCTTCATGTGGCTCCAAGTATCCAAGCTGATCCACATACAGGGTTTTACCAATGTCAACCTCAAAATTAAATTTATGAGTGTTGAAGAAAACACATTCAGTTTTTTCTTTTCTTTTCTTTTCATAGCTAAGTCTCACAACTCACAAATCAAGGATGCAAGCCACTCAGCAGCTTTCAGAGGTGTGTGACAAAAATGTGGCAGGGTTGTGATTACATATGTAAATATGACAAGATTAATCTAAAGGCTCCCCAGATGGAAATAGCCTCATCCCCAGGAATGATGTATTTTGGGAGCTTCGATGCTCATATGTTCCAGATGTTCCGGGGGTCATAAGTGTGCTATGAATTTTAAAAGGGTTATGCAAACACTTAAAGCTTCATTCCAATTTAGTTTTTTAGTAGGATGTGGAGGTGTGATCTAGCAGGAGAGGCTTCCCAGTTGGGGCTCCTTTGGCTGCCAGAACACAGAGAAATTTGCAATGGCCTTTATGATGCAGCTATATTACGGCGGAGTTCTCAGGGGTCTTTGGACTAATAATGGTGGGTGGGCAGGGGAGCAAGGATGCAGGAATACCCTGCCAAAGAGGAATCTGCCCCTGCATGTGCAGGAAACAGCAGGCATGCACAACTTCTGTATGCAGCCCTACTCACTAAGTAGTAGAGTGAGGCTGAGGAGAGCTGAACCTCCGAGCAAGCCCAGGTTACAGGCCTGTTGGGATATGCTGGATGGACGGATTAGATTTGGAGTTTCTTTTTAATTGCAATAAAATACATTTAACACACAAGTATATCTTTAATCATTTTGAGGTGTACAGCCCAGTCACATTTAGTGCATCCTCATCCTCTATCTAGGTAGTTGTGGGTTATTTTCATTGTCCCCATGGAAACCATAGCTGACACTCTGCCGGCCCAGTCCTCATTCCTCCACAGTCTCTGGAAACATAAGCCACTCCAGGTCTCTGTGGATCTGCCTATTCTGTGCAGAACCTAGAGATCTATAAGTTGGGGATGTCATGCTCAGATTTCTACTACTAAAATTACCTAATACCTAATTAGGAGTGCTGTGGAATAATCCTTCTGTACACTGTGAAGATGTGTTGCCCTCATTGTCAATAAAGAGCTGACTGGCCAATAGCTAGGCAGGCAGAGTGTAGGTGGGACTTTTAGACAAAAAGAGCACAAGGAGGAAGTGGGCGGAGTCACCAGCCAACAGCAAAGGAAGCAGGAGATGAACATGCTGCGCTGGGAAAAGGTACTGCCACGTGGTAGAGCATAGATAAGAAATACAGGTTAGTTTAAGATGTAAGAGCTAGTTAGTAACAGGCCTAAGCTATCGGCCAAGCACTTATAATTAATAATAAGTCTCTGTGTGGTTATTTGGGAACTGGCTGGTGGAACAGAGCTGGCTGACTGGCGGGATAGGAAACTCCAACCACAGAGAAGGCTTCAGAAGGGAATGAGGGCAGGGTAAACAGTGGAGGACCATCAGCCTAGATGAAGGGCAGCGTAGGTTCATAGGGAAGAGTGGGATTTGTTAGGAAGTGGCAGCGGTGCCATAGCTGAACCAATGAGATCTGCTATTGATCAGATACAAAGGCAACTGGCAATTGTCCTTCACTCCTGACTCCCCTTCAGACTCTGACCTGAGCAAGGATGGTACTGTTGTCCAGGACAACGAAAACGAGATCCATGGGAGACACAAGAGGTAGGATGGGTTGGAGGAGCCCAGTGTCCATGACAAACTAATACATATGAGATACCTACTTGTTAGGCTTTCAGGTTTAAACTTAAGATCCTTTATTATTTCATTATGCATCCTATCTATGAAATCTTGGCTTCTAGCCTTCAGATAGTAACTACAGGTCAAACTAAGATAAATATATCCTCAGGAAAAGGCGCATTACAAAGAAAAAGCAGCTGAAAACAAGAGTCAAAAACCAGCCCTAGATTGTCAGCAGACACCTCTGACTGTGAATGAGGCAAGGACTGGCCTTGAAAACCAGAGCAGAGATCAAGGTAGGGATACTTCAGCAACACACAGGAGGAGCTGCCCTAGGGGTTTCCCATCGTAAACCCTCAGACTAGCAAAGACTATTGAACAGGAGGCGAAGGGTGCCTTCCAGGTGCCTTAGTAGATCCAAATGTAGCTGTCATAGTACCATGTGGTTCTGGAGCAATCCAGCTGGAGCTTTGGTGTGGGTTTTGTCTGTTTTGAGTCTAAGAGAAAGCTGACCTTATTGTCTCAGGGGTGTGAAGAAAAGAAAAACTCAGTGAAAACTTCCAAAGGGGAAATGATGGAGGCTTGGCACTGGGAAACAGCAGAGTTTCCATTAGATCCATAAATGCCTACAGAGGGGGAAAGAACCAGAGGTGAGAAAACCTCAGGAACCCCAGCAGCCTGCTCTGCTAAAATCCTCTCACCACAGAAGCAATGGAGGTCATGACACCCTCTTCCAGCGTGCTCACACAGGGTTCACGTATAAACATGCTGGCAAACACATACGTACATACACACACACACACACACACACACACACACACACACAAATCTTAATAAAAATATTTTCATCCATTGCTAACTGAAATTGAGAATTTAACAAATGGTATCAGTTTATACATAGTAGAAATAAAATATATTAGAAACGTAAGTTTATGTTTCTAGGTTAGTTGACAACATCCAGACTGAAGCATGGTGCATAGAAAGCAGTGTAGTTTCTTGAGTTCTTAATATATTTTGGAGATCAGCCTTTTGTCAGGTATGGAGTTGGTAAAGATCTTTTCCCATTCTGTAGGCTGTCATTCTTATTTATTGTGTCCTTTGCCTTATTTATTTGTCCTTTTCAGTTCCAGGAGGTCCCATTTATTGATTGTTGCTCTCAGTGTCTGTGCTACTGGTGTTATATTTAGGAAA